GCCCCCAAGCCAGAGCATGGGGGAACACTGGTGAAGAGAATTCTGGTCCTCCCAATGCTTTCGTTCACGTGGCAACACAGTCAACAAAAATATGTTGAAAGAGATGAAGAAACAAATAATGAATGAATAAGATAAATTAAAATGACCAACAATAAGAAAAAAAATCAGAACATCCATTGAAGGCCGACAAATATTGTGAGAATTCTCCAAACAAACACCTTTTCAAAAATATTTATGATTTTTCGCATATTTTCCTCAATAAAATTTTATAATTTATAGTTTTTTAGTATTTTTTTATATTTTTGAGAATATGTTTTCCAATTATCATGATTTTCTTTACATTTAAAATATTATGTATTCATTTTGGCGAACTTTTTATTATCTTGTTTTTCTGCTATGCTGTTGTTGAAGTCTGTTTTTCAGTGTAACTAACAAGTGTGCGGAAGTTGCACTTAATTTGTAGGGAGTACCTAGAACTCATCTAGATGAGATATAATTTGGTCTCATTCACTTTGAAAACAAGAATAGATACAACCCACATCAGCACACACGCATCTTATAGCATCACATTCAATGGCTATAAAAAATGAATGAGACCAAATTATATCTCATCTAGATGAGTTCTAGCAAAACTGTAATTTGTATGAGACATATGTCATCTCAGGTTACCAGACGGACACAGGGCACTGTTTGCCCAAGTTCGGACCTCCGCGATGCGGGTAACAACCATATTCCTGCCTTGCATTGGATTATATTACAAAATGATATCAATAGTGGTGTACAGGTTGTTTCTGTCGAGTTGGGGCGGACAAACTAGACAGAATGTCTAGATCAGATCCAATGGCTCTATTGGTCCATCGAGATTAGCGTTCCGAAGACCCTATAGCGAGCTATCCTCTCCTTGTCGGGCAGACGGCTATTTGTAGTGGCCATGGTCGGTTGTTCGTCCGTGCATCGTCTTGATCTGCAGTCGCAATCCCTTCTGGACTCCATGGATGTTAGTGTATTTTTTGTTACCGATTGATTTTTTTACCGTTATTACTAGATCAGATAATTATTTTGCAAACAAAAAATGTGCCTGGTATAATTAGCAAAAAGCCAAGCAGAAATGCACATGTAATTGGAAGTTTGGAACAGAGGCAGCCGACGCAGGCTACACGGACTTGCATATGGATAAGTTCATCCGATCAACCGATCCATTCCTTCCATTCAAGCACAGTAGCAAACAACTAGCTACTCACAACCAACACACCAGTGGCACGCGAGCATCCGCACCAGTGTGGGAATAAGAGCATCCCGTGCAGCGAGCGAAGCCGCCGACCGGCGCCGGCCCCGCCACCTACATAAGCTCTGGCCCCCGCACGCCCGTGGAGCGGCTATAAATACGAGCCCGCGCCGCTTGTCATTCCTCAGGCGAAGGAGCAACGGGCACACCACACCACTCCTCCACTCCACTCCACTCCCCGCCAGCACTTCACGTACCTAGCCAGCCAGCAATGGCGATGCAGCCGGGCGGCGAGGGGGAGACGCTGATGCAGCGGTGCAAGCCGTACGTGGCGATGATCTCGCTGCAGTTCGGGTACGCCGGGATGAACGTGATCACCAAGGTGTCGCTGAACCACGGCATGAGCCACTACGTGCTGGTGGTGTACCGCCACGCCTTCGCCACCCTCTCCATCGCGCCCTTCGCGCTCTTCCTGGAGCGCGGCAAGGCCCGCCCGCCGCGGATGACCCCCCTCGTCTTCCTCAACATCTTCCTCCTCGCCCTCATGGGCCCCGTCATCGACCAGAACTTCTACTACGCCGGCCTCAAGTACACCTCGCCCACCTTCTCCTGCGCCATGAGCAACATGCTCCCCGCCATGACCTTCGTCATGGCGGTCATCTTCCGGATGGAGAAGGTGGACCTCAAGAAGGCCAGGTGCATGGCCAAGGTGGCCGGCACGCTCGTCACGGTGGCCGGCGCCATGCTCATGACGCTCTACAAGGGCCGCGCCGTGGAGATGATCTGGTCCAGGCACGCGCACCTCCCCGGCCCGCACCAGGACGCCGCCGCCGCCGCCAAGGACTGGTTCAAGGGGTCCATATTCCTCATCATCGCCACCCTTGCATGGGCCTCCCTCTTCATCCTCCAGGTCTATATATAGCTAGCTCGCTTCCCTCCTGTCCATGCGACCATACATGCATGAACTGAGAATCCTAACAGGTAGTGTTTGGTGCATGCAGGGCCCGACGCTGACGAGGTACGACGCGCCGCTGACCCTGACGACGCTCATCTGCTTCGTGGGCACCCTGCAGGCCATCGTGGTCACCTTGGCCATGGAGCACACCACCGACGTCTGGAAGATCGGCTTCGACATGAACCTCCTCGCCGCCGCCTACGCCGTAAGCCTCACAGGCCATACTAGCACCATCAGATCGAGACAATAACTAAACATGGCATGGTACTGACCATGAATCTCTGTGAATATGTATGTGTGCAGGGTATCGTGACGTCGAGCATTGCCTACTACGTGCAAGGGCTGGTGATCCAGAGCCGGGGCCCGGTCTTCGCCTCGGCCTTCAGCCCGCTCATGATGATCGTGGTGGCCATCATGGGCTCCTTCATCCTCGCCGAGAACATCTACCTCGGAGGGTACGTGCATCTCAATCCTCATCTCCATGCATGAGAGACAAGATAGAGCAACAGTCAGTTACATTATTCTTGCTGTTTCTGGCCAGGATCATCGGGTCCGTCCTGATCGTGGCCGGGCTCTACTCGGTGCTCTGGGGGAAGCACAAGGAGGACGTGGAGAAGAAGGAGATCGAGGCGACGGAGATCCCCGTGGCGATCAAGGGCGTCGAGGGCAACGGCAGGATCATGGACATGGTGGAGCTGGACGAGGTGGAGCTGGAGAAGGCCCAGGCCAACGGCAAGGCGGTCACCATCTCGGTGCCCGCCGCCGCCGGGGAAGCTGCCCGGGTGCAGCGCGACGACGAGAACTGATCGTTGGAGCAAGAGATAGGTGGATCTTGATGCTGTGGTGGTGCGGTGGTCTAGTGCTCTGAGCAGTGGTGGTAGTAACAGTAAGAGTATAACTGGTCTTCCTGGTGACGAACCTGGTAAAACATATGCTGTGAGGAAGAGCTTTGTAACGTCTCTAGCTAATTAAGCCGATGCTTTCTGTTTGTGGTAGCCTGTCTTATCTATCTGCATCTCTTGTATCAGCTACCCCCTTCAGAAGTTAATTATGACATATGAGCCATGATTATGCTATACCTCAGCTAGCTCTTCCAATCCTATATGAGGAAAGTGCTTGATCATGTCAGGCTATCCTGCTTCCCAACTCCTCGCCTAGTAGTGCACAAAAGGAATCATAGTCTTTGGGCTCACATGATTGATTGGACGTGGGATTTGTGGGCAGGCAGGCAGGCAGCACTCCTCAAACTCCGAAAGGGAAATAACCATATCTCTTTCTGCATTTTCCATATCTTTTCAATTCTATATATTTGTCAAATGTGCGTTTTCGCTACGTACCGTTCGGATGCGGCGGTTGGCACATAGCCGTATATATCTTACATTATTCATGAACTTTACCCCCATTGCATCTTGAGAGGTTAGTTAAGATAATGCTCCCACCATACATGTGATGTACGTATGTGCTAGTGATTCCGAGAACCCTCTGTCTTAAGTAATTGGCAACTATGGCCTTAAAGAATCAGGGTTATTAACAAGTGATGAGAGCTGGAAGGAGCTAGGAATAAACATTTCCCCAGAAAAGAAAAGCATGGAATCCTACTTAGCGCGCACTCGCAAAGATTCAGTGTCAAGTCTTAAACCAGCATGAATCTCCTTTAGCCGGGAATAAAGATTCGAATCCGAGGTCCCATCCCCGGGCAAGTTGGTGCCCCAAAGCCCCGGGGCCAGGAACAAGAACAGTTATCTGAATCATGTGCCCCCTGCCTGCCTGCCTCCTCCTCCACCACCTTTCTCATGCTCCGTCTTTTCGCAGTGTCAATCCTGGGCACGGCATGGCGGACCCGGTCGATCGACGAGCTCTCGTAGGTTCCCTCCCTCCACCTCCCTGGCTTCCATTGCCTTGGGGGGAATAACAGGTTGCAGATGAGACTGGGATGTGCCAATGCAAGTTAATGGATTCTACATCACTGGCTACTTGGAAACCGAAAAACACGTTTCGCACCGCAAATTGTCCATGGTGATGGGTACATATCACTCCTTGTCCTGGCTCTAGTTAATCATGTTTTCAGACAGATCATTGCCTGAAGAAGAAGAACTGCAACAATAATAGTACATATAATGGCAAGTTTTTTTTTTCAAGTGATAATGGCAAGTTTTTAATCACGCAAAGTGTCATGATCGATCCACATAGCGTCTTGGGAAGGCATTGCAAGACGACAAAAAAATGCGTGCTCAAATTGTTTGAAAACGCATTAGCTATGCCTACACATGCAAGATACGTTTCAAATGCAATTCTGCTTTATTAGCTCCTTTTTTCAGCTAGGACAGCACCAAAAAACGCACGCTTGTGACTTATCTGACTGCTTAGCGTGTAAGATGCTTGCTCCAGTTGGTTTTACGAGTAGACGATTAGCGAGTCTCCAAGCTTATCCCCCTGTGATCAGCCAGGGAAAGTGCTCCCACCGAACATCGGTCGACGTCTTGGAATAACCGAAAGCCTTCTCTGTGTAGAGAAGCAATGCTTAGCATAAAGCCAACCACACTCATAAAATTAGTGTTTCTACACTCAGCCCACACGCAGCAATTCGCTTAATCTCCGAAAACCAATGAAACCCGCTGTATGGCAAGTAGGTAACCTCAGCAGAATGCTAAAAACAGGGGCAGAAATGCTAATAGAATAAAGAGCATTACACGAGGCCGTGATCTTACTAAGATACCTTGTTCCAAACCAGAAAATGATACGGCATGGGCATAAAAATAAGAGCGAACTGTCAGATGGTGATATGCCAAAGGACAAACCATGTCACCCCCCTCAAATTGCAAAATATATGATACCACAAACCCGAATCGCCTTCTTGGTTTTTGTCTCTTGATATCCTGATATGTTATAAGCAGGCATCATGGGTGCTCTAAACAGCATGTCTGGTGTATCATAAGCTCCAGCACAGGTTCAGAAGTGCACAAATTTGTGGCCCCATCTATAATTGAGGTGTCAGTATCACCCAGATCCAATAAAAGAAGAGATTCGTAGATGACCAGGCCAACATTCAACCAAGGATAAAAACAAATTGCTACAATTGGTGGAACTTTTGTACTTTAACCAACACCTGATTTTTAACACGCCAAGTAACATCAGGAACCCTCGTGATTTAACTTTGCGAAAAATTACCAAAACAGCTTATGCTCAGTGCTTTAACTAACATGTAAAGCACTTTCTGTTGAGTATTTGTCGATATTAACGCCACCGTCGACTTCTCGGGCACCCAAGGCAGTGCAATCCTTAATTTTCTACTCATCCGACTCAGCATTAGTTGTCAATAGCTTTATGTGATGCATGCGGTAGCGGACTCCTTAGTTGCTTTTATTTTGAGTCAATTACACCACTGGTGCCACAACTTGGCGTGAAAAATCAGTTTAGTGCTAAAACTTGTGGCATACATTAAATTGGTGCCACAACTTGGTTTTGGCGTGCATATACGATGTAAATTACGTTTCTATACGAAGAGGGTGTTGATTAGGCACGCCAATATGACATGGGCCCGCTGTCAGCAAGGCAAAGAGGACATGTGGCCTGCTATTTTGCACAAAAGAAACCTCTTAATTTTTTCCTCACAAAAAAGCTCTTGCCACGGCCGCAAGGGTCCACTTGTCAGCGTCTCAAAAATAATTAAAAAATGGCACCTGCAAGGATTCAAACCGCTGTCCTGTAGCTCACAGCTGCGCGCGGCTAACCGCCTGAGCAAGGACAAATTCATGTAACAACTGGATCCTGCCCCTATATATTTTTTGAATATTATGCGGGCTACAGTCCCGACAACCCATTTTACACTGTTCTTTTACGAATTTATAGGATATTTATAAATTATAATCGTGCATTATAAATAATATACATATTAATAAATTAATTTAAATTATAAAATAATCATTTATTAATTTAACATTATCCATGTAAATTATAAATAAAGAACTGTTCATGTAATAATTTGCACATTGGATAAAAACATATACTCAACAAATGCTTATATAAGTTTAATTTTTGTCACATTTTTAAATAAATATTAATGTAATATACAAAAGTATTCATGCTTTAAAAAGTGTTTAATTTTATACTATATTTTAGTAAATGCTTTTATAAGTTTAAAAATGTCACAGTTTAAAAAAATCATGTAAGTATATAAAAGTGTTCATGCTTTAAGAAAGTTTTTAGTTTTCTATATATTTTCATAAATTTTAAATATTCACAGTTTCACCAAATTATTCATGCAGTACATAGAAGTTTTCATGCTTTAAAAAACATATATCCGCATAGTGTAAATTTTTTTACACGTATAGTGTAAAAATAGTTGGCTGGGATTCGAAGCAGCAATATCTGGGCATCAGGTGTGAGTGGCCACCGCACCACCCAGCCGTGTTACTTTTTGTAGGAATTTATAAAATATTTGTAAATTATATTCTTATGTGAGAAATAATGATAATATAGAATAATATTATGTTATAAAAATATTCAAGTATTATTTAAAACTTATCTATATTATTAAAAATATTTATGCAGTATATAAAAGTGTTCATTGTTATTTTGAAATTTACTTTATTTATAGCACATTGTTACAATAATCATGTATTTATAAAGTGTTTTCAAATAACAGTGCAAAATGCGCTGCTGTGACTCCTTTCCTCTTAAGATAGAAAGTTTATACTCTCTCCATCCGGAAATACTTGTCATCAAAATGAATAAAAATGAATATATTTAGAACTAAAATACGTCCAGATACATCTCCTTTTGTTCATTTTGATGACAAGTATTTCCGGACGGAGAGAGTATATGCTACGTATCAATTTTATTATAAGGAACGTTGACGACTGTACTGGTGTGGCATTTGCTCCTGCAGGTCACGGAATCGAATCCCATTGGCGACAATTTTTGCAAAATGTTGTGGGTTGCTGACAGATGGACGCCGCACAGCTCCATCCGTGAGAGAAATGTAAAAAATTCTGAGGTTTTTTTTTTTTTTGCAAGATAAGCTCCTCGTCAACCTGTCCCTGACAGCGGGCCCGTGCCACGTTGGCGCACCTAATCAGCACTGTGTTCGTATAGAAACGTGATTTGCACCGTATATGCACGTCAAAGCCAAGTTGTTCCACCAGTTCAATGTATGCCGCAAGTTTAAGCACTAAACTGACTTTTCACGCCAAGTTGTGACACTAATGGTGTAATTGACTCTTTTATTTTCCATGTTAGACCTGAACTGTGGTGTGAACTAGTTGTGCATGTTACATCCTGTGTGTTGCACTACGATTCAAGACCTACACGCCAAATCCTGTGTGTTAACATCACCGCTGTCTTTATAAAAGTCACTAGGTAGTTCAGGCGCGTCGTCTTGCGAGGGAAGGAGTAATTTCTTCCACTTTCTAAGTTGAAAACCACCTGGCTGCTGCTGTGCTCGAGGATAATAACAGAGACCTAGTGGTAATTAACAATGAGCACTATTCTTGGTTCCAAGGTCGCATTTTATTAAGTTTCGCACTGAAGGAACACCCATAACTTCAACTAAAATGCCGACTAGATGAATGCTACTTTGGGATCAGATCTTGGGGGCATATGTCACTGAATTATTTAGCTGGAGATTTACTGTCACTTTACCTGCTGGATTAGCAACAAGAGAGTAAAGAGAGTAGACATGAAGCACCAAAGCTGCCTTTAGAATCAATGGAATGACCAAGCAAGGCACACTAACATGTAGTGTGCTTGAGTGAGATCATTACACTGGAACTGAGCACAGACAACTACTAAGGCCTTGTACAATGGG